TGTTGATACCAGTCATCTTGTATAGTTTGTCATTGAACCATTGCCACCAGAAGCCAGAAGAGTTCTCATACTGGTCAAATAGGTCATTGTCCCCAAAGGAGAAGATCGGCACCAGAGATGCCCTGGAGGGAGACAGGAGAGGGCATGTGGGAATTGCCAGGAGGTGCAAGCTGGTCACCTGGCTTCCTGCAGGGACCAGTGACCAGGGATTGCAGCAGAGGACAGAGCCCTGGGCTGGAAGTGGGAGGCCCCGCGTGTCTCCCAGGCCTGCCGTGGCCTCCCTTTGTGACTGTGGGCAGGTCCTGGCTCCTCTCAGGGCCGCCACCTCCCATTTGTACCATGACAGGCAGACCAGAATGCTTCAGAGGGTCCTCCCAGATATAAAACCTCTGCAAATTTTCTAGAAAAATCTACTGCAGCTAACTTCTAGTCTTTAAAAGTACATTAAGGTAGAGGAACAACTCTAAGCTTCACCCCAATGTCCACTCTCCCAGATTCGGTAGGTCTCAGATCTAATGCCAGCTCTGGGCCATATGAGTGCTCACACCTAGTTGTTTGATCACCTAGTCTCTCTTCTGGTATCTTCTTAGGGTATTTAGGCATGAGACAGTAGTACATCCTTCATCAGATAGAATCTTCACTGTAAACAAATTGATAATCTCCTCCCAAAATATACTCTGCATTAATGTCTGTGGCCTTCCCACCAAAATACAACTCTTGTCACTCTCCAGGTCCACAGAGAGCCCGATACCCGTGCATCAGGGCGAGTCTGATGAAGCCCTTGCGGTTGCGAAGCACCAGCCTGCTGGATCCGGGCCTGGCATTCAGTGTCTCTTTGGTGCCTCCTACAGTGATGCCCAGCAGGTTGCCACCTCCGTTCCTGCTCAGAATGTGAGAACAGCTCTCCTTGTCTGATGAGATCAGCCCTGGGGAGAGAGGAAAGTGGTCAGGTGTGGAGTGAGAGGGCAGGGTCTGTGGGACAAGGTGTGTCCTGGTCCCCACCTCCCTTCTCAGCTGGAAGTTCTCTGAGGCTGGGACTGATTCCTCTCCCTGTATCCAAGCCCTGGCCCAGCTCATTGCTGGCATAGAGCTGTGGGAAGTCCTTCCTTGGGTCTAGCCTCCTTCTATATACACATACTCTTGGACACAGTACAGAACTGTTGGCAGCCCTCCCTAAAATCCTTCTTCTGTGCCTCCAGCCCTCATCTTCCTGGCTACCCAGGGGTGTGAAGACTTACCCACTGTCATGATGGTATCCCTGAAGAAGGGGACTCGGAAAAACATGTTCATTGTTGTCAGATGAGGGTAGATGCTGGGGAACAGCGATGTGAAGCCGGTGCTGTCAGTGCACAGATTTGTAAAGGATCCGATGGACAGAACCCCATGGGGGTGGAAGCCAGCAAGGTAGTTCTGGGAGGGGTCCAGCTCGGCGGTCTTGACCAGCTGCAGGGACAACAACCTGGTGAATCTGGGCTGGACCTTGTGCCCTCCCTGGCCTCACAGTTGACTTTCTGTGCTGCCCTCTTCTATGTGTCCCTGTCACCGAATGATATCAGGCCATCATTTGAGGATCTTGGGAATAGAGGCCACCTGTCTGAGGCATCCCTGGTCCCAATGCAGGCCTGGAACAGAGGAGATGCTCTGGAAGGACCAGGGAATGAAGGAGGGAAAGAACGACCTGTGAAGGGATGAGGTCGATAGGAGGAAGCCCTGCCCAAGGCAGAGGTAGGACTCCTGGGAGGTAACGGAAGACCCGCCCTGCCCCATGTGCAGGAAGATCTGTCACAGGCAGACCCTCCCATAATGAAGGAGCCACGGCAGGAGGAAGTGAGCATCTGTCCAAGGGCTGTGTCAGCTGGAGTTCTGTCCTGGGTGCGGGGCTGGCCCCTGAGTCCCTGTTACTCAGTTTAAAATACCCCAGTGTGCTGGGAGGTGGGGGCTGGGAGAGGGGCACGAAGTCTCTAGTGATATCTGTGGGGGGTCGGGAGGGTCAGGGAGGTGTCCTGCACTGCCCAGTGCCTGCAGCATTTCCTGACACCAGGTCACAGCCTGGACACAGCACTTCACCCCTCCTCCGCCCTGGGCCTGGGGAGACAGTGTGGCTCTGGGATGTTAAGATCTTCACAGGAGAAACTCAGTCCCTTGACTGGTCTTTAGCATGAGATGGAGACAGTACCTCCTGGGGGAAACACTGACCGATTCTCCAACATTAGCTCTTTAGGAAACCTATAGGGTGGGCTTAGAAATCTCCAAGGCCCAGACAGTTTCCTAATTTTGCATGAAATTCATCACTAAATGATAGTTCACAAAATTACAGTAAGAATTGTTGGAGGATCAAGGTTTCACATGCATTTGACAGGGAGTGCAGAGGCTTATGCGTGTTGGGGAGATCCAACAGAGCAGAGACTCCCTACCAGGGGCTCCATACCTCCTGGCCACCCCAAGATCCCTGCAGGGCCTGCCCTGTAAAGTGTGTGGAAGAGTTGGAGGGTCTCCTGGAGGGTGGTAGGTCCAGAATCTGCAGACGACAGCTTCACCTCTGCAGGCTTCCAACTCAGGACAAGCAAGTCAACGTGCACATCATGCCCCCCTCTGCTGGCCGCCTAGTGGTACTGCCCACCCTCTGGAGGTGGTATGCCACAGGACTACAGTGGGCCACAATCATAAACACTGTTCACGTGGAATTTCTACGAATCAAGTTCAATAGTGCCTGGATGGAAAAACCCTCCTTGAGAGGTACCTGGCTGGAGAAAGGGCAGGAGAGTAGTGAATAGTCAGGCATAAAGCTGCTCAGCATCATTTTTCTGCCAGATTTGAAACTGGCAGCAGCTCTAGGTACAAATACAGCCAGATGCTGTCCTTTAGAGGCTCCAGGATGACCTGATGTCTCAAGGAATCCGCGCAATCCAGTGATGTATGTCGCGTCCTCTCCACTTTACTTAAGAGGAAATCAAGGCTCAGGGAGACTGTAACTTGCCCAAGTTCACACAGCTGCTATGTTGCAGACCTGATATTGCAACCTAATTCACTAGCACCATGGGTCACACTCTATACAGGTCTTCTCTCCTGTTTCCTGAGGAGGGCCACCTAACCCTGTCTGGCAACTCCCTGTGTCCCAGTGCTTTTCCAATCCTATCTGGACAATAAACCATCCCTGCCCAGGGGCTTACATCCCAGGATTTAATCTTTCTGTGATACAAGAAAGGAGCAGGAGGCTCAGTTCACTCAAATCAAGGAGTATACTTTAATCATGACTGATCTTGCAGTCCAGGAGGTCCTGGGGTCCCCTGAGTCAGAGAGTCAGAGATTAAGAGTCACTCAAAGTAGGAGGCAGCAGTATGCTTACTGGATGCACGTGGAAAATGAGGATCAAATTGGGCAAGGCTTTGTCCAAGGACACAGCATACATATCATATTTTGGGATAAGATAGATCCTGAGAACCAGTTCAAGGCTCTCCGTCTTGCTTCTTTACCCAAAGTTATGCACAAACTTAAAAACTTTGCTGGGTGATAGTCTTATTTGATGAAGTGTGGGGCTAGATGTTCTCTAAGGAATGACTTTAATACCTGCACCCCCGAGCATGGCTGCTGAGTGGTTTACACCTGTAAGATACACATGTGTGCCACACTCTACAGCCCTCAGAGCTCCTTCAAATCCTGGATCATTCATCAACCATTGTATTGGCCCCACATATTGCAGATGGGAAATCATGACCAGACAAGCTGGACTTGTCCCCAGGCTACATAATGGTGCAAGCCTGGTTCCTGCCTCCCAGCCCAGTACTCTGCTCACTGCACACATGTCGGCACTTCCCCATGGGGCACTATGGTCCTGGCCACCCTCAGCCAGCCCCATTACTCACTGAGATGGGGAAATAGTGCTTCATGTACTTCCACACGACCCAGCGTCTTAAGGCCTCGATGCGCCTGCCCCCCTGCCATGGCTTGTCTCGGTCCAGGTACCACCAGGCCGCATACAGGACACTGAAGAACCAGAATCTTGTGAACAGGAGGCCTATGAAGACCACAATGCAGACACTGGCTGGGGAGGGAAGCAGGAACTGTGAGTGGTCAGAGATGTGAAAGAAGAAGG